GCCTCCCAGAGTGCTAGGATTACAGGCGTGAGCCATCGCGCCCGGCCCAGTTCCTAGACTTTTACCTGGGTCTAAGATAAATGTCTATATGAAAAAAATCTGAACTACTTCTCCCAATGTTGTTAAAGCTATCCCATGTATTCTTGGACAGTTATACAAGCAGAAGTATCCCATATGTTATCCCCCAGAAGAAATGTGGAGTTTTCTTTCTTTCTTTTTTCTGTGATCAAATAGTTGAGGAAAATTCTTATTTCAGAATCTGAAAGAGTCACTTCAGCAGATCAAGGAGCTTTATGAACTAAGAACTAAAAGTACTGTCTGGGCACGGTGGCTCACGCCTGTAATCCTAGCACTCTGGGAGGCTGAGGTGGAAGGAACCCTCGAGCTCAGGAGTTCGAGACCAGCATGAGCAAGAGCAAGACCCCATCTCTACTAAAAATACTAAGAAATTAGCTAGACAACTAAAAACATAGAAAAAATTAGCCAAGCATGGTGGCCTGTGCCTGTAGTCCCAGCTACTCGGGAGGCTGAGGCAAAAGCATCACTTAAGCCCAGGAATTTGAGGTTGCTGTGAGCGAGGCTGACACCACGGCACTCTAGCCTGGGCAACAGAGTGAGACTCTGTCTCAAAAAAAAAAAAAAAAAAGAAAAAGAAATAATGAACTAAAGTACCAACTTTTGAAGCCATGCCCTCTTCTCACACAATTATGACTCATATGTTTGTACTTTTTTTTGAGACAGGGTCTCACTCTATTCCCTGGCTAGAGTGCAGTGGCGTCACCATAGCTCATTGCAACCTCAAACTCCTGAGCTGGAGTGATCCTCCTGCCTCAGCTCCTCCAGTAGCTGGGACTACAGCACACCACCATGCCCAGCTAATTTTTCTATTTTTTGTAGAGACAGGATCTCACTCTTGTTCAGATGCTGGTCTTGAACTCCTAACCTCAAGCAAGCCTCCTGCCTCAGCCTCCTAGAGTGCTAGAATTATAGGCATGAGCCACTACATCTGGCCTATGCTTTCTTATTGTTGTGAAAAGAACATTAAAATCACTTAAAACAACAGGGAAAAATAATATTATTATAAATTCAAATTAGCAAGTGTATCAAACAATTGGTAACTTAAGACTACCATTCATTTCCCTAGATAAATTTTCCATGATTCTTTAAAAACTAATTTACCATCTACTTTGTGTCAAGTACCATTCTAGGCATTTGTTAAGATATCAAGGAATAAAATGTCACAGATTTGGGAAAACCACAATTACCTGGCAAAAATATAGTTACAATTTTTAAAGACCTTCAAAACATGTAAATTTTAAATGTTTTCCTACTTTTTGAATGTAAACCTCTAAATGGAAAGTCTGGGACACATTCTATCAAAGAGAATCGGTTTCAAATATTGATTATACTAAAAGCATATTGTTCCTCAGAAGATAATAGAACACTAGCACTTAGGAAGAAGGTATATAAATCCTAGAACTCTCCTAAAATTCACTTCTGGCCAAGCTCTGAGATATATTTATGTATACCTATCTCCATGAAAGCAACTACTCTTTCAAATTTTACAGTTCAGTATGTTAAATGCTAGAATCTCTTTGAGATGATCATCAAAATATAGGTTTTATACCTATAATACCCTAGTAATTAATTAAACTATTGCTTTAGATTTCTTTTTGTATCGGTTTTTTTTTGAGACAGAGTCTCGCTCTGTTGCTCGGGCTGGAGTGCCATGGCGTCAGCCTAGCTCACAGCAACCTCAAACTCCTGGGCTCAAGCGATCCTACTGCCTCAGCCTCCTGAGTAGCTGGGACTACAGGCACAGCCCACCATGCCTGGCTAATTTTTTCTATATATTTTTAGTTGTCCAGATAATTTCTTTCTATTTTTAGTAGAGATGGGGTCTCACTCTTGCTCAGGCTGGTCTCAAACTTCTGAGCTCAAAGGATCCACCCACCTCAGCCTCCCAGAGTGCTAGGATTACAGGCGTGAGCCCCCACACCTGGCCATTATATTGCTTTTTTAAAAAATATTTTCAGTACCAACAACCTAAACTTAACTACTTACCAACAAAAAATAAGTTCTAGGGTTTCTATATAATGGAGTTTTACCTTATGTGGGTCACTACTGAAAGAATTTGGATGTTCCTGATACAAACAGAAAATACTTACATATTTGTAAGCCTTTTCAGAATTACTACCAGATATCCCAGCAAAAGAAGTTAATATAAAATGAAACTTACCTTTTCAATATTCCCATATAAGCAGAATAGGTTGAAGACTCTTGAACAATTCATTTTTAGTTGATGTAATCCACTAACCATTACAACTGAACCAGAGGGATTTCCTCCATGCATGTAAGAGGAAGAAGCCTGTGGTAATGGATACGCAACAAGCTCAGGTGTATCTCGAGAGCCCATTCTGTAACGACTTGGTAAAGGCAATAATGGACCATGGGATCCTATAAAAATGATCAAAATAAATAAATAAATAAAATGCATATACATAGTTCTGATATAAATACTTCAGTAGATACACTTCACCACGTAAAAAATAAACTCTTAACATTAGCTAGTTTGATGTCCAAAGAAAACTCAAATGTACAGATATTTAAACATAACCTATGGGAAAGTAATAAAACCTGTATTTATTTGTACCAGATCCAAGATATATTGACCTGTACCTGCATACATAAGGCTGTCAGTTTATATTTAAAAAAAAAACCATATAAAATTAGGCTATGGTTGGGGGGACAGGGAAATCAATATAAAACTTAGGGCCAATGTATATAAATTTAAAAAATAAACCTCCTGCCAATATCTTCTGGAGGAGTAATATATTAAAATATACAGTAAAATCTAGGAAGCTATCTCTGTACAGATATAACAAAAAGAATATCTTTAGTTCCATTGGAAAGTTGTATACCTGAATATATTTAACTATAATGTACTTTCAGGTTGGTATTTTATTCCTCTAATTCTAATTTAGCAAGTTAAAACCCTAGGTTTAGTCAATACTTCAGCTAAACACAAGTGTCTTATTACTTCACAACCTCCATTGTTTGAAAAAATATCAAGAATCCAGAAGGAAATAATGCCTGAGTAAGGAAACACACACACAAATCTACATCTCTTACATTGAGATTCTTTATCAAGAATCAACTTGCTAACTTTACAGTAGTTTTAAACAACTTTATCTGATTTTTCCATCCACAACAGATTAGAAGTAATAAGAAATATAAAGCTAGAGTGTGGAATGGAAAGGAATGAGTGTGGAGAAACTGATACTAAAAGTAAGCAGAGAGCACATTTTACAGCAACAAGAAGAGAGGAAGAACTCAGAAGCAACAAGTAACTAAGATGGAGATACATAGCTTAGAAAAATAAACCCTACACCTCTTAGGTACTCCTGAGTTAGTGATTACAGAAGCACAGTCCGGAGCGTATGCAAATATCCTGCTGAAGTGCAAAAATCCAATCAAAACCCAAGTCCTTTCCTCATTTCTTAAGAAGTAAAAAGTATATAATGCCACTAACTTTCATTTTTATGTACGACTAAGGGACATCTGTCTACCAAGTGAGTTACTAAGAACTACTAATTTTGTTATTCGTAACATGCTATTAGAGCTTATGGTGGACTCCAATTTTCAGTATTCTAAATAAAGCTGCCATTCATAACAACACAGCAACAATACCACCGAGTACACAAGAACACAGTGTCAACTTCTGCAATCTTGGGAAGGAATACTTTATCAATGCACCATCATCAGTTGCCTTAGATTGGTCATGGTTTTCAACTGCTCGTTTGACAACTGGCACTTTGCCAAAATAATCAATCTAGCTCAATTGAAGTGTATTGTAACCATACATATTTCAGCCTCTAATATAGACTATTATACAAATACCAAAGTTCAAATATCGCTCTTACGTCTACTGCAAAGGACACGAATATATTATATTGCCTCCCCACTACCACCATTTGCTTGTACACAGTAATGACACTTCATTGTACCTAAATTTTCTTTTTCATAGCCAGTGGAAAAAGTACAGTATATGGGCAGTGGAAACCTTCACTTTGCTTACAATGGCTAAGGTCCAAAAACTTTAAGAATCACTGCCCTACGTAACAACCAAAATCAATGCAAGAGAATGACTGATGTTTGTAATTATGACTTTGAGCCATCAGGATTAAATTATGTTATCTACGCTATTCAAACTACCTATATTGCTTAAGATAAGAAAAATCAGAAGTCTTTTAAAAGCTTCTATACTAAATAGATAATGTAAAAAGTTTGAGTGCTTAAAAAACTAATGTTTCATGTATTTAAAAAATTCACATATATGAGAAAATGCTACATAAATGGTATTATTAACATTTTCAAGGCATTTCCTCTCTTTCAAACTTTAAAATCTTTGGTCCAAGAATCATAGCCAAAGATGCTAGCAATTAATATACAAACTTTTCTTAGGCTCATAGCCAATCTATATATTCATTTTTGCCACTGTTCAAATGTGAGAGCTTCTACCAGGTCATCTCACAGGGCTAAGCTTCCCAAATTAAATGATTTAAAGATTTTCTCTAGATTTGTAGTTTAAAAAGAAAAAAATATTTAAAGAACTGATGATTAGCACAGAATTTTAAACTGCTATAATAAACCAATGAATAAATTAATCTCATAGAATCTATGGGTCCTGAATCATAATTAACCTTTTCTATCCCCTTTCTTATAGAACATTACATAGGAAAAGCCACCCGTGTGACCTCAAAATGCAAATAAATCTGTTCTGCTGAACTGCTGATCTGAAGGGATACAGCTGTGATTTGCAGTATTCAGAAAAAGGTTCAATACCACCAGCACACATCCCCATCTTCTTTGCTTTTTCCACCATTTCCTCATCTTACTTCTCTTCTCCACACCTCTTTTTATTCATTCTCTCTCCTCCTACATCCCATTCTGCTTTCTTCCCTAGGAAAGTAGAACAAATTAACCTAAGAGATAAATATCTAAGTACATAGCTCAGAATCCCTACACAATCTTACACAATCCCATTATAACTACCAAAGAATTTCACAATAGGCTTTTTAAAAATAAAAGGTTCTTGTAGGGCAGATAATATTTTTATTTATACAATTTTTCAGAATATTTTATAAAGGAAGGCAAACCTAAACTAAGAAAATGCTCTATTTTAACACTTCTACAGTAGAGTTCTGGCCCTTCATTTATTCTTCCACAGATTTTTCTAGCCTCCTTTGGCAAAACATTTAACCAGTTTTTAACCTTCAGCTCACTGCCATGACATACTTAACACCACAACTATACTACAAACTTGTAACTAGCAATTTTTTTGTAACCCTTCATTATGCGAAGCATAACAGGCTCCCTGTTTTTTTTTACTGCCCATACAACCATATTTAATATTTAATTGGTCACAAGAACTAAGAAAAATGATCAAGGTACACACTCACTGAAACGACTGTAATAACAGTTTCATTGTATACTACACGTTATTTTGACAGAACACAGAGATTGTTTTAATCTTTTCTGCCGTATAGACTACTGTGGATCCTTCAACAAATATATACACACACGTGCATGCACACAGGTAATAAATTCCTGGAGTTCAAAAAAAGACACTAGGGAATAAGCTAAAACCCACAGCTAACAATGGTCATTAAAGTAAATACATTGGCAATTTGAAAACATTTAGGACAACAGGCAACACTAGCGGGCTTCTCAATGATACATTCCAAAAGCACAATATAGCAATTTCTATTTCCTGCCACTTTCTAATAATTTTGTATTTCAACTTTAAAGCATGAAATAGGTGGGATCAATAACTAAAAACTAAAAAATATTTTAAAACAGTTTATAGCCAGTTAAAGTCTTATCAACAGCAATTCTACTCACAACATCTACCTACGAGACATCTACTTACAAGAACAATAGTCTGAAACCTAGCTTTTTCCTGGGGAAGACTGTTATTCTACGTTTCGTAATCTTAACATAGCACACAGTAAAAGCTGCGAAGTTTTAAAAGGGGAATTAAATATGAACAAATTTAACCAAAGCCAAATGCCAACTGCAGAGCTAAAAGAAGTTAAGAGTCTGACCAGAAGCACGTTTCCTTTTTGACAAATATTCCACTCTTTCTGCCTTTATTACTCAAATTTCCTCTTTGCTCATAATTGCTAGAATGAAAGAAAATACACTTACTGAGCAATAATACTTCTTTCTGGTCCTTTTACAGGCCAGTGCCCACTACAAATCAAAACCAAAACAAAATACAGTGGCAAAAAAATTTTCAATCCCCAACCAATAGCTCTCATTTACCTCAAGAATTATTTGATTTATCAATATCCTAAGAAAACAAGGGATTTGGGACAACTCCTTGGGAGTACGTTATAAGGGACTGGTCCTATATAAACCAAGTCAGGTAAGCAGGAAAAATACAGAGACAAAAAATGTGGAATTCTTCATCAGAAATGCAAGAATTCTAACAGTTCATCTATACTACCTTCCTTCTGCCTTGACAAACTTACCATAGCCATCATGTCTAAACGAAGAAGGGTGTTCTCCCAAAATGGCTTGTCTCTGGCGACCCTTTCCTCTATCTGACACAAAAGTAGAAACATTGTTTTAACAATTTTGACCCAAGTACTTAACAGAGTTCTCACATGGGAAACACCCATTCAAAACATCCATTACAATTCATAAAAGAAATAAGATTCCTGGTTAACTTTAAACATCCATTCACAACCAATTTAAATACAAACACCAAAAAGTTTAAAAAAATAATTCTATCTAACAAATTCCACTTAACTTGAAAATATCTTTTTGGCAAATGCTAAATACAATCACACTTTCAAATTTAAGGGAAGAACGGATACTTTTCAGAAAGTGAATGTACACAATGCTAGAGTTTGACACTGTACAGAAGTTCTTACCAATACATGTCTTTAAAACAAGCTTTAAGTGCAGTACTTTTGAAAGACAGTACCTGAATCATACTATTAGCTTCAACAGCAACACATTTTCAAAGTAGGCTTCTTTCAAGAAGTTTCAGCATAAGCCAACAACAACCTGTATTACATGGTTTCACAATCAGTAAACACAGAGTATTTTATATGTATATATACATATTTATAAACACCTACTGACTTGAGAGCTGAAAATTTGCACATCACTCACTGGCCCATATTATACCATGGATAGGTCATTGCCTATCGATCTTAACACCAGGCAGGACTACGAGCAACCCCCAAAGTTTAAATATGCCAAGATAAAGCTAACCAAGGGGGCTACATTATTGGATGAGAATACTACAATACTCTAAAGGATAATTTTTGTTCTAGCTACATTTTCAGGGAAGGCATGCCAATTTTCCCCAAATCTAGTTTGAGATATCAATTAAAAAATTATTTGTAGGTTTCTAAAACAGCACTTCTTGTGTTGGTTAGTAAATTTTTTAAATCATTATATAATACTTTTAGAAAGTTTCCTGATCAAATCATAAGGCCCAATAAATTTTTTAAAATATGTATCTTAAGACTCTGGTCATTCTGATCTTTGAAAACTCAGAGGCTTTTCATATATCCTTAGTCACCTAAACAAATGAGGTTTATGGGAGATGAGAAATACTTTAATTTTCACTTCAGTCTAGAGAAGTATAGTTTTAATTACCTATTCCAAGTTATCATAGCATCGAAAGGGACTAGGAGATCATCTAGTTCAACCCATATTCAACGTAAAGATTATCTTTACATCATCCCTACCATCTGGGACCAAAAGCCTCTGCTTACCCCAAACCAGTAACAAGGTAAGTACTACCTTCCCTTACATTTTCAGATAGTCCCAAATTATGAAAAAATTAATTTTTATACTATATAGATATTGATCCTCTACCCACATTCTACTCTGTTTAAGGCCTCACGTACTATTATGACCCTCCTTCCCATTTCCCCAAAGTCATTTCTTCTCCAAACGTCTAAACATTCAGTTCCTTCTACTGCATGGCTTTCAGCATCTCTCATTATTTAAGACTCACTCCTCTTGAACCAATCCAGTCTGCTAATCCATTCCATTAATGTTCCCCTGCTTAAGCATATACATCAAACACTAAACACAATTTCTTAACTGGCCTATGAATCTTAAAACCCAAACCACCATAATGTCTTCATGACTTAGTTTTATTAATACAGTTAATAGTGTGCCATAAAGGAAAGACAACTGGGTTGGGAATCAGATGATTCCAACTTAACCACTAATTGGCTGTATAGTCACAGAAAGTCACAATCTTCATTCATAACAAGGAAGAGTCAGAGTAGTTGATCTCAAGGTATCTTTCAGCTAAACATTCTCATTATTAATAATTCACTTTATTTGAAGCATTCACTAGCTGATATAAGGTCACATAAAACAGAAGTTGAACAGAAAAGTCAAACACTGAACATATCACTTTCTAAACAGTAGTTTGTGAGCTTTCATAGATTTAAATGAAGTCTGATGGAAGCTATAGACCTTCTCCTCAAAAAGATGTACATATACACAAGTTTTGCTTAACATTTTTGGAGGGGTTCCCTGGAGTCCAGGCTAAGAATTCTTTGCACTAAAATGTAATTAGGAATGAAAAGGACTTTTAAAAATAAAGTTAAGCTTTTAAAAGAGCTCTTTTGTGGCGGTGGAGGGGTAGAAAAGTTATATGAAGGGATAGCAACTAAACAGTTTCAGTATCTATCAACTTGAGCGCATGCTAAGATCACTACAGAAACAAAACGTAAACTGCTTTATTCTTGCCGGACAAATATCTATCTGTAAAGAATTAGAAAGGAATTTTTTCCTTGAAAGCATAAACAACTAAAATTCTATTTTACTTCCTTTAATTATATTTCACTATTTAAATATCTATCTTACACATTTCTGAATTATCTAACAAGCACTGTATAAAGAACTAACTTAAGCTGGCTTTGTGTAAACTTCAGACCTTTTAAAAGAATAGATGTAAACACTGTTACAAATAAGAAGCATATCTATAGGATAAATGTTTTAAGAGGCAATAAGAAAAATGCAACCAAAACTATTTCAAATGAGAAAAAAAAAAAACTTGAGTGTTCAATAACTGACTGTAAATTGACAGAAGTGAGAGATTTCTCATCAACCACTTGTCCTGTTGTTTGAGTGCTAAGGGATTGTTTTTCAATACTGTAATTAGACTGCATTAAGCCTAGGCCAAGCAGATTTCTGTAAGTGGTAAAATGGCGGGGCAAAACTGCATTACAAAACAAACCTATTTGCAACCTCATGCATAAGGCAAGATGATTTCCTGGGAACTGAAATGAGCCAATCATCCAAAAGTCCTAAATATTTGAACATGCAAAGGATCATCCCATTGTCTTTTACTTTTCTTTTGCTAGAGTACATGCACTATAGAGTATCCACTGCCCAAGATATTTTGGATGCCATAAAAACTTTTCTAGTTACTGACTTTTACACAGGCATACGCATCTTGAGTTTTTCCAACCCGTGGTTCGAACAGTGATATTGTAGTTGAGATGTAGCCAATACTGCAGCCCCCTTGTTTTTACAAGATCCACATTTTAATTTGTATATTCCAGAATTGCCACACAGTTAGTTGAACAATTTTATCAGTCAAGTCTATGCTCATGAAATCTAGCATTTATAGGTTATAGGTGAAAATGCATCTCAAATGAAATGCTCTTATTTTTTCAGATTTATCAAGTTTAAATATATTCTACCTTGGACAGACATGTTACTTTAACCTACATTTGAAATGTCAAAATTTCTAGTTACAGAAATTAACATAAGTGATAACCTTAAATTGTTACAAAAAGTGACAACTTATAAACAGCCACTTTACAAAAATCAAACCACACAGAAAAACATGTTACATATAATGCACCTTTTCATTATGTTAGAACTTCTGTTCAATGTCCACAATTGAGGAAAAAAACAAAAAACAAAAAAAAGTAAACATAAGTGCAGCAAGTGTGCACCTTTCTAATCCTTTAATTTCTAATTATCTGTGTGGATTGGTTGAGCATTATCAATTCCCAAGACCTGTGGATAAATTGGCCCTGGTTATCTGCCAATTAACAATTTGAATCTAAGCTGCAAACAGTTACAGGAAAGGGCATTAAGATTTACAACATTGTAGATAAAGTCTAGTTTCCGTTAGTGAAAAGTTTTAAATTCTACAACTGAAACCTTAAGGGAAATCAGACCAATATACACATACAACTTGAATAAATGGGCACAGTCTATCATGGTGTTCATCCCATGCAAGTCTGAAGTACTGTTAAGTGTCCTCCTTTAAAAACTTGGGGTGATGGTGCATGCAGTATGCAGTCAAGGTGAATTGCAAGTCTGAGTTTTTCAGAGGGCTTTTTGCTGATGCCGATGTTGTGCATGATGAAGTGTAGAGTCAGCCTGCTGTAGTCCTCTATCCTTCTTAATGCCTCGTCCAGCTTGGGGGAAAAGTCCTTTCCATAGAGAAGCAGTGTGCAAGTTTGCAGTTTGTAAGGAATATTCTGAATCAGTTTCCTCTCCTCCAAAGAGAGAGAGCTGCTTGGAGAAATGCAAGTCCTTGAACTGCGGGCGTGCCTGTATGTGTGGGCTCCTTGTTGAACTAAATATAAATAGCTCAGCACATATCAGTAGGGGGCACTAACGTTCAAGGTTATTTTCCAGCATTACATGGCCTTTTGCAACAAAAGCATTCACCAACAAGGTTTTTATTTGAATTAACTAGCTCATCTCAGGAAGCAGAATCTAACTGCATTTAAAAATTTGTCAGTAGTTGTAAGTACTTTCTAAAATGCATAAAATACCTACCTCGTCTTCCCAAATATGGTTTAGTGTAGTCCCAACTGTCATTGTCATTCCTAATAACATTTAGACGAGTTGGCTGTTAAGATTGAAAATAAAGTAAGTTCAAATTGTATATCCAAAGCATAAATATTCTTTGGTAAAGTTTTGAAAAAGATATTTACCCTTGCATATTCAATTTTTAGTGTGCAACATCCAGCATATATATCTGCTCCATTGAGTGCTGCTTTAGCCTTCTGAGCACAAAGAACTGATTCAAACATAAGCACTATTAAGGAAATTAGGTTTAAGGTAACTGATACTTAATCATTACTCACTTCCAAAGAAAAGGACTTAAAATAATCAGAAGTAACTCCTTTACTTCCAGAAACGTGTTACCAAATAAAATTTCTAGATGAATTTTAGTAGGAGAATTTACTTGTAAGATCAAGGGTACCAAAGAAAACATAATACAACCAAACTATCTACATTAATCCTTCTAAGTCATCAGAAGTACTTTATAAATTGGGGGTAGGGGAGATAATGGAGTGTAGTCCTGTTCCCTAGCAAAGAACCTTGCAACCCTGAAACTATTTTACTTAAAAGTAAGAACAATATTGCAAAGAATCAAAATAATATAAAACAAATATATGACTTTTATATATTTCTGAGAAGGCAGAAATTTTATTAAATTTTTTAAAAGTTACTTAAATCTATAATTTTTTGAAAAAAATCAAATCACATAAATACATAAGGTAAAAAAACAAAAACCAAAAACACCTTGCCAGAAGTAAGCAAGTAAACAAGCAAGTAAGCAAGTAAACTGTTAAAGAGTTTGCTGTATATCGCCACCCTTTCCCATGTATGCACATGCATACATAGATTAGGGATTTTTATTTTTATTATTTTTTTAAAATGGGCTTATACTATATATACTATTTTGCAACTTGCTCTTTTTACCCACCATATAACAAATTTAATAGAGAAGCAGTTCTTACATAAATCATGACCATTTAAAAGGTTCAATAAAGAAAGGTGAAAAAGATTCTACTGACTCTAAAGTTTTGGCACTGCCAAACTATTTTAAGGAAAGAGACAGAAAAGTTCATTTGCAATAAATTTTAAAAAGTTACAAGTGTACATATCATCAAATAGTGTTATTTTACACTGTAAGATGAAGCACTGGACTGTTTTATGATAGCAAGTTATTCTTTTTTTTTTCCTGAAACAGGGTCTCACTCTGTCACCCAGCCTGAAGTGCACTGGGACAATCATAGCTCACCGCAGCCTCAAACAACTGGGGTCAAGCAATCCTCCTGCCTCAGCTTCCTGAGTAGCTGGGACTACAGGTACATGCCATCCCACCTGGCTATTTTTTTTTATTTTTTGCAGAAACGGGGTCTCACTATGTTGCCTAGGCTGGTCTTGAACTCCTGTCCTCAAGCAGATATCAAGTTATTCTTATAATAAAAAGTACAATTCTCTACAGGTACTGCAGTTTGATATTTTCAATTGAAGCCAAACATATTTTTGTGGGAGGAGAAAGTAAACACTACTTGTCTAGAAATGCTTAAGCAGGAAAAAATAAGATGCATATGAATTTACACATCATTCATACATATCAATAAAATATTTACAAATAAAGGATATTCAACCATTGCTTGTATCCCATTTCTCTTGAATATAACAATACGTTGCACTTTTCCAACGGGGTTGCATACAGTATATAAAACATCCTATGAAGAAACAAAACAAGATTTCTTCACATTTTATATTTAGAAAAATATTAATAAGCTATACTTCATTTTATTTTACCTAAAAAACAACTGTCAAGATGTCACTTCTATTAATTATTAATGAAATTAATTTTTAAGATTATTACTTTAAAAAATATATACTCACTTTAGAGAAGTTCCAATGAAACATTTGAAAAGTACTATTACGTATTTTATCTCCTAAATGAATATTCAATTTTTACTTCAACAGGTAACTAAAATATCTTCTGACAATATATAATTAATAAATCATAACTATAATCAATTTGTTTTTTTTCAAATGAGACTCTGAAATGTTTAACATTATAATCACTTGAATTATAATAATAAATATTTACTGAGGGGTAGTATTAGAACAACTCTAGTATTCATTTCACAAGGGACAATGGCTACAGAGAAAAGATGCAAGGAAGATCATACAGTATTTAATGTCACCAAACAAGATGCCTGAGTCATCTAAGAGAGAATCTAAATACCCACTCAGGAATAATTATTCAACTATCAAGAAATTTCTTGAGTACCTATAATTACAAAGATGTATTGTTAGGCACTAGGGATATAACAAAAACAAATCAAATTACCTATACCAGTTATATTCTTTTTCCCAAAACACTAAATATTGTAAATATATTAATACTATCTATTAATAAGTTTATAACTATTATAAAAGTAAATAAAATCAAAATGCCTTATTAAATCTAAAGAATATCTTATGCTTTGCTTTAAGTTTATGTTCCAATATCATATGCCCATACTAGAAATTTACCAATCAAAGCTTCCCTTACTGTGATATTCTCCCATTCATTACAAAAATCAAGTGTCTTTGTCATTAGTTTATCATGAAACAGCTTATGATCACGAAGTAAAAACTCAACTGGTTAAAGACATGAATATTTTTTAAAAATTCCACTAATATCACTTTTTAAAAGGGCAAAGAAGCAGAGAATTTCAAGTAAATCAGAGACAGGTTTTTTAACATGCTATCTCAGAGTAGCTTATAATAATATGTGTATCTTACTGTACTATGGGAGTCTGTCATTACCTAGTAGATGCTGTTACACATATGTATGCTGACATATAAGTAAGAGAGATTTCTTGGACCATTTCCAACAAGTCTGTCTATAATCCCTTATTATCAGAAACAGAACTGACAGTCATGGTAAAGAATAAAATTTTTAATACGCCAATTTAATTGAGAAAACTGTGATTCTGATCTTAGCTTCAGTGTTCAACATTTTTCTTTGTTCATTAAAATTGATAGTCAAAATTAAGGTTAATTTCAATAATTTTTTTTTTTTTTTTTGAGACAGAGTCTCACTCTTGCCCGGGCTAGAATGAGTGCCGTGGCGTCAACCTCGCTCACAGCAACCTCAAATTCCTGGGCTCAGGCGATCCTACTGCCTCAGCCTCCCGAGCAGCTGGGACTATAGGCATGTGCCACCATGCCCGGCTAATTTTTTCTATATATATATATTTTTAGTTGTCCAGATCATTTCTTTTTATTTTTTAGTAGAGACAGGGTCTCGCTCGTGGTCAGGCTGGTCTCAAACTCCTGACCTTGAGCGATCCACCCACCTCGGCCTCTCAGAGTGCTAGGATTACAGGCGTGAGCCACCGCGCCCAGCCAATTTTAATAATTTTTATAACTATTTTCAAATATCTAGATGGCAGCGAAGAAAACTATAGATCAGTCACTCTAGAGGCAAACTGCAAAATAACTTTTAATTTCATTTGTCATACTAAAATACATACCACTGTAATTGGATAAAGAGGATTCTGAATTGAAAGCAGAAGAACTTTGTTGCCTCCTGATGGATCATCAGTATTTCCTGGCCGAGTGATCCTTTTGCTTGTAGAATAGTTGAAAAAAGCCTGTTGGCCAGCAATGTACACAGGTTCATCCGCAGCAAATGTCACACATTCTTTGGCACTATCTATGTTTTCAAATTCCACGAGAGCCTGCCGTTTAAATGGCATCATCATCACATAACTGAAAAGGGAGATTGGGAGGAAATAACACAAATATAAACAACAAGTTCACTTAACATTATTTGTTCTCAATCAAGTAAAAGCAGACTTTAATAAAAATGCGTCAAATCATACAGATTAGTATTCTTCACTACCTATATCCAATGTAAGTTAACTCTTAAATCATCCAAATAAATTGTGATGTGTCAGGTAAATGGTACAAATTTGAAAGCTTACCTCTCTGTGATTAGAAGCTTATCCACCCTCATCATCCCCTTCTTAAGCACAATTCGCTGTTATCAGTTACTAATGACACCACCCAGTTTATTCTTTGGGCTGCTACTCCCAAACAGTATTAGAAAATATCAAGATACAGAAACCAACAGACACAAAACTCAACAGAAGGTAGGCAGACAGAACAACCCCTTCTTAACAGCAGAAACTATAACGTCTCCTGAATTTTCCAAATAAATAAATGCCCACACTAATAATTAAGAACTGACTATACTTTTATTTATCTTATCAAAAACAGGGAATCAAAAGATAAATAGAAACTACCTTAGACTGGCCAAAGTTCATAAAAATAATCTCCTCCAAAATATTTTTTAAATATTAAAGAATCTATGAAAAAGCCAGGCATATGTCTGTACTCCCAGCTACTGAACAGGCTGAGGCAGAAGGATCGCTTGAGCCCAAAAGTTTGATTCCAGCCTGGGTAACACAGCAAAACCTCATCTCTTAAGAAAAAAAAAAGAATCCATGAAAAGATACTAGAGTATCTAGAATATGGTAATCATGGTTGCCTATGGGCAGGAGGGTATGGTATTTACTTTTCATAGTATACTCTTTTGGGGGGCAATCTATTATAATAGAAGTAAAGAATAAAGAAATGGGCTGGGCGCAGTGGCTCACACCTATAATCCTAGCACTCTGGGAAGCTGAGGCAGGAGGATTGCATGAGCTCAAGAGTTTGAGACCAGCCTGAGCAGGAATGAGACCCTGTCTCTACTAAAAATAGAAAAATTAGCTGGGTGCCTGTAGCTCCAGTTACTCGGGAGGCTGACACAGGAGGATCACTTGAGCCCAGGAGTTTGAGGTTGCAGTGAGCTATAGCTATGATGACGCCACTACACTACCTGGGGCAGGGCGACAGAACAAGACTCTCACCAAAAAAAAAAAAAGAAATGAAAGAAGGGAGAAAGAGAAATCACAGCACATGGATCACAAATGGGGAAATAATATGCCCTCATTCACAGGAATAAGAACCTTAAAAATATTTTAAAATACAATTAAATGGTTTTTATAATAGCAAGAAGACCAGAGAAATGACATCAAGTCAGGTGCTCAGTGACATCACTGCTTCTCAATCTGGCATCCAGGACCTACTGCTACACTTTAGAAACTGACAAATGGTACAACATTAGTAAGAAACAGACCACCCGGCAAATTATCATTCTTATAAATATCAGCTTCCTCATTTATAAAACCGGGACAACTGCTGTCAAGATCAGAGTTATTGCATACAAAGTGCTGATCCCAGTGTGTGCCACATTGTAAGCCCTCAATAAAAGGTAACTATTACTGTAGTTTCTATAGACCTTGCCACATTCATCTCTATATCCTCAGAAGCTAGAAACAGTGCCTGGTACATAGCAAGTACTCAGTATTTGTTGGTCTAAGAGGTTTATTACCTCTCCCCACCCACATCATTCAGAATTAAAGAGTAAATACACAAACAACAAGGCCTTGAATTTATTAACTATAAATGCAAAATATAAATCCCAGGAGGGAAAATACTTCTTTTAAAAACACAGACTCCTCAATGAAGTTCTAAAGTCTTGCATATGAAAAACAGAAAACTCTGGAATCAGGTCTATCTATGCTAAAGAAAATTCAAGAAGAATAAATGTTCTCTTATAAAATAAGTTGGTTTAATATGTAAATGTATCACCAAGTTTATGTTTTTATAATATTAGGTTAATAATGCCGCCTGGAAACACACATAGCAAATAAAGGTACAGAAATATTTATTGGCCTGTTATAGACCTGGACATAGTAAAATTGCTTTCTATAAATAAAAAGAAGTGAGCTAGAAGCACAAACTTAAAAGTGAAAAAGGTTACCCAGAAAAGTTCATAAGAAGATAGAGAAGGAAAGAATTAAAATGTTACAAAATATCCTAGCATGTGCTTAAATTGTCTGGTACACAATTAAAAAATAAAAAAATCCTTAAAAAGCATCAATACAAGCGAGTAGAAGACCAAAGACAGAAAACGATAAAGAAACAAAAAGGTTAAGGGACATGATAGGGTCAATGCTTTGAAGAAAAAATCTTTACTAATTTTTAAACTAAAAACATAGGAAAAGGCAACAAATTTAGTGCACAAACTGGGTCCCAAAAGTCTTGTTAAAACTGGTATAGCTAATCACTATCTAACATATTCTCTTTTAACAGGAAGGGAGAATGGAGGAAAAGAGACATAATATGTATTTTTAATATCCTTTTGATTATATTACATAAGTATATTATAGAATTAGAAAAAAGACAAAAAGGTAAGAATATAGCAGTTTTATTATCCTGACAAAATCATGCTTAATATCTTCTTGTATCTTCTTCTGATCTTCTTTCCCACATATTTAGTTTTTAGGTATAACTTACTCTATATTGAACTTGGTGACTCACCTTTTTAATATAAGCAGTTTCTATAATCTTTATGATCCCACACGTAACATTAAACATATACACACATACATAAATACATAAATATGGAAAGGTTCTATAATTGTAACATTCTATAATTGTAACATGAAGCACAACTTCCACTCCTGGAGGCTGTTCAAGGTTCTTTCAGCTTTAATAGCAGCCCTCTTATTCAAGATCATTTCAGACCACTGAAACTCCTATTATACTTAGTTATGCCAATTAAGCTCTTAATTATACACTAATTAGTTCCAATTATTTCATGACTTTTCTATCCACATAACTACCAATGTTGAGGGCAGAATGATGCAAATTAACTGAATGACATTCATATATGCAAGACTTTACCACAGACTAAGTACCAAAAAATCTAGAATCTAAAAACAGGCCATCCAGGAATAATTCAAGTAACTCACCAATTTAAAATAGTTCTATTTCTTTAATCCCCAACAATCAGGTCATGGTACTACTTAACATCAAAATAGTTATTTTCCCTAAAGTTTGCAACTGTATGTGCTCACCAACTGTTTTCTGACATTTGCCTCAGTACTTCTTGGCAATAATAATTTTAAAAGCCCCAAACATTAATATATAAGAATAGAGGAAAATAAGCCAGAGACACTCACCTTTTATAACTTCATGTGACAATGTACCACTTATATATCATTTGAAGGTCCTTACAGAGACTAGGGTTAGTTTAGCACCAACATGTAAGACTAAAAAAGGTCTAAGGAGTCTGCCTGCTTCAACGTGTAACTCTCAAAACAGACTGAACTTCCAATATCCACTCCAAATGACTGAGAATTGAAATAGTCATCTTAGTGATAAACTTTCAACACACAGGCTTTACTATGTCCACGTGGATTCTCAATTTGTACATCCAAGGATAAACAAAGTGTAATAGTGGTTCTAGTTACATATGTAGAGCATAACATGTTTGTTAAGCCACCTAACTCTCAATGAGGTCACCAAAGAAATAAAATGATACTATGATGGAAGGTGTCACCTAACACTATTCCTACTCCATTGAAAGAATGATCTGCTTCTGCTGGACATTCCTGATCACTCCCTATCTATTTATGCATTATCCTCTCAATACTTAAAAACTTAACATGAATTTTTATAAAATTGAAACAATCAAGCCATCTCAGCAAATGTACTGAAATTTATCACCTATTTATATATTTCAACTTGGTCTGTGTTTTGGATGTCTATAACAAAGAACCCAAACATATCCATTAAGAAAAAAATTATAAAATCAACTCTAGATTATCTATATTAAGAAGAGAACAACAGGCTGGGCACAGTGGCTCACGCCTGTAATCGTAGCTCTCTGGGAGGCCGAGGTGGGCTGATTGTTTGAGCTCAGGAGTTCGAGACCAGCCTGAGCAAGAGCAAGACCCCATCTCTACTAAAAATAGAAAGAAATTAATTGGACAACTAAAAATATATAGAAAAAATTAGCCGGGCATGGTGGCGCATGCCTGTAGTCCCAGCCTCTCGGGAGGCTGAGGCAAGGAGGATCGCTTGAGCCCAGGAGTTTGAGGTTGCTGTGAGCTAGGATGATGCCACGGCACTCTAGCCCGGGCAACACAGTGAGACTCTGTCTCAAAAAAAAAAAAAGAACTCAGCAATATGCACCTAAGCAAATAATGTCTACCCTTAACTGACCCACTTTTAGTTGCCAATTCCTAAATATTCCAGAACCAAAAAAAAAAAAATCAGTATTCAAGTACTACTACTTGAAACTCTGAACATGAGGGGCATTATCAACTCATCAGTTTAAAGCAGTGTTTGAGAAGCAATCACACATGCATTTGAAAATCAGATGAAAAGTGCACATAATTTTACATACCACTTTGCTGGAGGGAGTGAAAGGTGATCATGGATTGACAAAAATACATACATGTATTACTCAGAAAGGTTAAAAATCACAGGTTTAAAAGGTTCCAAAGAAATACAGTCATAGGCAAACAATATATACCATGCTAAATGTCAAGCACTGTAGCAAGCAAGCAAGCCGCGTTCTACCATACTGTTTTCAGTCTGCATCAAGTCCCTATTGCTCTTACCATATTGTCCCAAATTTTTCCAGAGCCTCCACAAGGTCTGCTTCCACCACGGATTCACAGAGTCCTCGAACATGGACAACAGGTGAAACAGAAACTTTATGGTGACTTCCACCTGCCTCCTAGCAAGAGAAAATAATTTCTAGTTAAAAACTTTAAAAGTTGAAATTTTATCTTTTAGTAAATTCAACTTGCATTAAAAAGCAAACATTAAAAAAAAATCCTGGGAATGCATCATGTTGTAAAGAAATAAAATAAAAAAAAAAATCCCAAACCAAACTGCAATATACAAGTTAGCAAAAGGAGCTGAGAATAAAATCATCAATTGTTTGTCTTGAAATACTTATTTCTAAAAAGGGAGCATTCTACTTCAATGAGAAGTACAAAGAAGTTATTTAATAACTTATTTCGACTTCAAGGAAATTTCAGAAAAAATTTCAGCAGATATACAAGGCATGCTATAATTGGAAATATATGTAATACTCATAATTTCATAGTTTTATCTCCCGAAAATCAAAATCTTAAGTAGTCCAAAATGAAAAAGTTCCAATTAAAAATTTTTCCTTGGCCGGGTGCAGTGGCTCATGCCTGTAATCCTAGCACTCTGGGAGGCCAAGGCAGGAGGATCGCTCAAGGTCAGGAGTTCAAGACCAGTCTGAGCAAGAGTGAGAGCCTGTCTCTACTAAAAATAGAAAGAAATTAGCTGGACAACTAAAAATATATAGAGAAAAAATTAGCTGGGCATGGTGGCGCATTCCTGTAGTCCCAGCTACTTGGGAGGCTGAGGCAGAAGGATTGCTTGAGCCCAGGAGTTTGAGGTTGCTGTGAGCTAGGCTGACGCCATGGCACTCTAGCCCAGGGAACAGAGCAAGATTCTGTCTCAAAAAAAAAAAAAAAAAAAATTTCCTTATTGTAAAGATATTTATTTTTCCTGTAATATAGATTTATATCATTTCTTATTCTTATTTAATAGGTTATCTAGTCCCACTATAACTTGAAGTTATTCACTTAGCATGTCGACACACATGACAACTTAAGTTTATACAAGGTACCGTCTTTGCTGATGAACAAGGAATACTCAAAAATGCAAGTCCTCCTGGGCATCTACTGACTATTATGTATATTTGAGTATGCCCAGCAGGATGTTTCAAAATGTAAGAATATGGTCCTAAAGTTTGTTTTAAAATGTAACATGTGCAAGAATTACTTTTAAATGCAAATAGCTTTCATTTACTTATTCAAGTTCTATTAAGACAAAGATCTAGGCCAGGCGCAATGGCTCACCCCTATAATCCTAGCACTCTGGGAGGCCAAGGCAGGAGGATTGTTTGAGCTCAAGAGTTCGAGACCAGCCTGAGTAAGAGCGAGACCTCACCTCTACTAAAAACAGAAAGAAATTAGCTGGACAACTAAAAATATATAGAAAAAAAAAAATTCTGCTTGTTACAGAGCTGGGAGATTGATAAAAAAAAAAAAAAAAAAATTAGCTGGGCATGGTCGCGCGTGCCTATAGTCCCAGCTAGTCCCAGCTACTCAGGAGGCTGAGGCAGGAGGATCGCCTGAGCCCAGGAGTTTGAGGTTGCTGTGAGCTAGGCTGATGCTACGGCACTCTAGCCCAAGCAACAGAGTGAGACTCTGTCTCTCAAAAAAAAAAAAAAAAAGACAAAGATCTATATTTACAAATGCCAACAGGCACTTCTCTTGCATCACATCACAAACAACTTACACATACAATCCATTTATATATACAAGACAATCTGTTAAATAAAGGTTTTTTTCCTCCTATAAACAGCCTAATCTGAAAGCACTACTGTTTTACCAATCAAACTTAACAATTACTTTAATAAAATTAAATCTCTTTAAGGCTATCTTAAATGACTCATCAATTTTTCTTATTATATGACCATTAGGAAAATGTAACAAATGAAATGCCCTGCCAATAAAAAAAACTGTCAGAGTTTAAAGAGATAAACTGATTTAAACATATAAAGTAACCACAGGACTCCTCTTATACTTTTGTCAAACCTAACAAATAAATTCAGTCCTTTGCAAATACTAATTCGATCCTTGGAATTTCATTTAATTGCTTATGTTCAGGTTTTTCTATGGTTAAACAAATAGTTATTACATGCCACTAAGTTTGAAATGAATCACTCTTGATTGTAGCCTATATAAACCAACACTCTCCTAAGCAACGTTAGCAAATATTTGAGACTCTGCCTTGGTGAAATTCAACAAGCAAATATGCATTATCATCACTAAATTATTAAATATAACTCAAGAACAGTAAGAAAAAAGCTCTAAATAATACCTAAATATCAAATTTAGAGTATATATTTAAAGTATAACAAGCTTAACTCCCAAAATAATTAGACAATAATAAACTGCACTATATAATTAAGACACAATCATTTCAGTCAATTCTAAGAAATCAGGTGGCAAAGGCAAAAGGGAAACAGAAAACTGTATTGGCCTGAACTCTTCAGTTAGTATCAAAAAATAGTAGAAGGAGGATTGCAGATTGAGACTAAAGAGACAACAACCAAATGCAATGTGTGAGCCTTCATTTTATAATAGTTAAAATTGCTATAGAAGACATATTAGGGACAGTTAGGGACATATGAGGAGAAACGTGAATACACACAGGATATTGCATTAACATAATAGAATTATCATTGTCTTAAGTACGAAAAGGTAATGGTTATGTGAAAGAATACCCTTATTTTTAGGAATTTAGGGATGAAGTGTCATGACATCTACAACTTACTTTCAAATAGTTTAGGGGAAAATGTATGTAAATATAGATAAAGAGGTTTTTATCAAACCCCAAGTGGCAAAATGTTAAAAACTGTTGAATCTAAGTTATAAGTATATGTAACTGAACATTTTATGTAATAAAAAGGTGCAATATTTTATTATAATATTTAAAAGCTATAACAAGGTATGAAGAATATAAAAATATCCATGAACCCACCATCCTGTTTAGAAAGTAAAACAATACCAATCAATTGATCACATCTCTTATCCTTCCCTTCCTATCATGGGTAACCACTCTCTTGAATATAGTGTTAAAAAATATGATTATTTTTCAAATTGGTCTTCTAACGAAGAAATGGATTACAGGACCAATTTAAAAAGCCTCCAAAGATCTCATTTTAATACATTATTATTTAACTATATTTTCTAAATGGAAAAGCTTGAGACCAAAGTCATTCCCTAAAAGCTGGAAGATGTTAAATACAATCAACATGGTACTTAGGGGAAGATAAGATTATCTAAACCTCCAGACAGAAAACACATCCCATACCTCACGTATTTCCCTTATTCCCACTCCATGAATCTGCCATTCATGGGTGTATCTACCTTGATGTTTCTCTAACATTAAATTACGTCCCCTTTTCTTTAACCCAAAATTTTCTCATCCTTTCTGTAGTTTGTTTTATTTAAAAAAGAAAAAAACCATAGGGTTATTTCCAAATATAAAACTGATATATTAAAGATATCTTTTCTTTGTTCTGTATTGACAAGGGGGGGGAATAAAGATGTCTTTTCAAACTATAATTCCACATCCTCTCCAGAGCTTAGTTTTCTACTCCCTCCTCTTTTTTCCCAAAAATACTAACATTCTTCTTAAATCACTTTCTTTTCTCTACCTGTACTATTTACTGGTGAGAAATCTGAAATCATTTGTAAAGCTTCTTTTACCTACCCTAAAATTACCTCTTTTAAGCATTACACTATGCATCTGATTCCTAAACTGATGGATAGATCTGTATTGTTTATCCCCATCCATATATTAATATTTTGGTCATGTCTTCTCCAGCTTAAGGAGTCTTTTTTTAATCCTTTCTCATACAGAAGCACAAGTTCTTTCCATTTCAAATGTTTAGTTATTTAAGCTCTTTCTTGGTCTATTATATCTAATATTTACCAGACTAGAAACAATGCATACCCACATGCATACCCAGCAAATGAAGGAATGCCTGCAATGTATGAAGACTTTTTTTTGAGACAGAGTCTCACTCTGTTGTCTGGGCTAGAGTGCCGTGCCTTCAGCCTAGCTCACAGCAACCTCAAACTCCTGGGCTCAAGCAATCCTACTGCCTCAGCCTCCCGAGTAGTTGGGACTACAGGTATGCGCCACCATGCCCGGCCAATTTTTTCTATATATATAGATTTTTTTTTAGTTGTCCAGATAATTTCTTTCTATTTTTAGTAGAGACGGGGTCTCGCTCTTGCTCAGGCTGGTCTTTGAACTCCTGACCTTGAGTGATCCACCCGCCTAGGCCTCCCAGAGTGCTAAGATTACTGGCGCGACCTACCGCGCCGGCCAAGACTTTTTTTTAAATTGCAAAATCCTTTCTTTAGGTAAACTGGGCTAACTATAATGGAGGCATTATCTGGTCCCCAATACACGTTGGCCTTTGGGGACTGGTAGTTTGGAATGGTTATGAGTAGACCAGTAGTAATTTTGACTACTGAAGATTAAAGATCAGACTCTAGTGAAGAGAAGAGCACCTTAGTAGAGTATAAATGAAGCTTCTATCTAAAAGGAATGAAAGGCCTGGCGTGGTGGCTCATGCCTGTAATCCCAGCACTCTGGGAGGCCGAGGCGGGAGGATCCCTTGAGGTCAGGAATTCGAGACCAGCCTAAGCAAGAGGGAGACCCCGAGACCCGTCTCTACTAAAAATAGAAAAATTAGCTGGGCATGGTGGCATGCACCTGTAGTCCCAGCTACTCGGGAGGCTGAGGCAAGAGGATTGCTTGAGCCCAGGAGTTTGAGGTTGCCGTGAGCTAGGCTGACACCATAGCACTCTAGCCCGGGCAACAGAGCAAGACTTTGTCTCAAAAAAAAAAAAGAAAGAAAGAAAGAAAAAATGAGTGAGAAAGGTCCATTAACAACTCTTCCTATAGTAAAAAAAAATAAACTAGAAAATCAGAAAGGCTAGATACAATGTCTTTAAAGCTTTTTTTTTAATTTTCTCAATTGTCTCCATGCACAGCACAAGCTCAACAGCCACTGAATAACTTTTTCTGCCCTCCTATAATTATAGAATTTTAAAATATCAACCTAAAATTCATGCCTTTCATTCCCTGACACACACAAAACCACTGCAAAAT